CTAAAATATTTTAAATAGTTCTCAGAGTATCTTACATCATTTGTCCAGATTTATTTAAAAAAGCTGAAATTGTTTTTCACTAAAGATACGGTTAATCAGGCCAATGTATACAGTATTAATTGAAAACCTTCAATTACTTTTTATTCTTGGTTTGGGATTGCTTTCTTAACAATAACCGTACATCCAGAGTGAACCGAATTTCTTGAATGACGAAGCTAAATAAGCCAGATTTCAGTCACTACAAGTTATTGTACAAATTTTTCGGTGTTTTTTTTAAGTAGTACATCAGAAGAAACATTGTCTGAAAGTAGGAACTTTCATTTTGTGAACCCGTGTAGTCCTGGAGCTGGGCTGTTTTTTGCTGAGCTTCTGCTTATTCTGTCGGATTGTGTAAAAATGAAATATATTACAACAAAATTTTTAAAAAGGGGAAGATATGGAACCTACCTAATATCATTTCTTGAAATATCTCTGTAGTCTAGTTTCGATTTTTCTAATCTACGTTCTAAGCCCTGAAACATGAAATGAATGATTGTTACTGATAATCTAGTAATATTAAAGTATGAAACTATAATCACTTTAATTTTTCAACGTTGATAGTCTGAACGTCCGAAAATAAATTCCAAACTTCACAACAAAAATCAAAATGTGTTTACATTCACAAGCTGAAAATTATGTACTGGAATTTAATGACGTATTTAAGACAAGATCATTGTAAATGATATTCCATTTTAGGAAACAAACCTTGGTAAAGTGTTGCTACGACTTCAATTTACTGTTGGGTTGACATACAGTACACTTAACTTGTCCGCAATGTGAACACAGCCACCTTGATAACTAAAAGCAATAACATGCACAAAAACATGCCAAAACATAAAATGTCACTACCACAGATAATACAGGACTTTTAGACCCTAGAGAGGACCGCCTACTGATTAAATTGCTGTCGGCTGAGTATCTTACTACATTGTTAAATTATCGTAAAGAACAATCCCTGAAAAATCCCAGCAAATCCAAATGAATCTGTTTTTATTGGAAATCAATGGATAGAATCTCCAGAACTATCGATTGTAAGATAAAATGGCAAAGTCCTAAGATGAAAGGTTTCATGGCTGACATGAAAAATTCCTACCTCAAAATGGTTTTAATGAAAAAATATCAATGAATTCAATTATAGGTTCGTTCCAACCTTGAGTCACAAACAGATTTCTGTTTGTAAATCGTCAACGCGCATGTCTGGTAAATATTGGTTTCTGATTAATTTGAAATTTCTGATTGGAACAGTTCAACTGAAGTTTGGCATGGAATTTCAACATTACCTTTAAAAATAAATCTAATCAAGTGTATTTCTGGAGAGTAAAAGAAGGTTGCAGTATTTTAT